CAGTCCAAGAACATCTGGAGACCCCCCGTTTGAGAACCACTGGCCTAAATCAAGTGGTGCTGCTTGCAGTCCTGAGCCACAGGATCAGGACTTAGAGGTCTTGTTTGGACTACAGCTCCCAGAATCCCTCAAGCAGCATTCCTATTGGCCGTGCTGGCTGAGGCATCTGCTGAGCTATAGTCCGCTCCCCCCCCAAAAAAAAAACCCAACTCTGCCGGGATGTACGCTGCTCTTAATAGAGCAGGCTCTCCCACCCTCACGACCCCCGCCCCCTGTGTGTAGCAGTGGACCCAGATGCCACTCTTCCAGTGCCATTCTTATTGCAAAGAAACCACATTCTAATCTGTGATCTCAGCACTCAAAATCATGAAATCCTGTTCCTGAAATAATTTAACTATTTTTCTAAGTGGCTAGCATACCTACCACTGTTGTGAGTGCTGTACGGAGAGTGATCACAGAAATGTCACAGGGGGTGAACACTAGCAAAGCTATTCCTCTCATCCACCCTTTATGGGCCTTTTATAGCATTATTATGATGATGATGATGATGATGATGATGATGATGATGATGATGATGATGATGTTGTTGTTGTTGTTGCCATTTAGATTTGTGAAGGTCATGTGCTCCCTCTTTCCCCTCTTGATTTATTCATCTCTGTTGTTGTTTTTAATTGTTATTGCTGTTTAGAAAAACTGCAGATAGAAAAACTTCAGGCTTTTAATACTTCTAGCCCACACCTGCAGCTGAGGCTGTCCTGCTTTGGGCACATTGTCAGAAGGCAGGATTCCCTAGAAAAGACAATAATGATGGGAAAGGGGGAAGGCAGCAGGAAAAGAGGAAGGCCAACGATGAGATGGACCGACTCCCTAAAGGAACCCACAGGCTTGAGTCTGCATGAACTGAGCAGGGCCGTTGAGGAGAGGGCCTTTTGGAGATCCCTCATTCATAGGGCTGCCATAAGATGAAAGCGACTTGATGACAAACAACAACAACAACAACATCCACCCAGCAAGGCCTCATCTGACAGACAGCCACAGTTCTCTAGGAATTCAGGTGGGTTTTTTTTCCCCCCTAGCCCTACCTTGAGATCGCTGCCATTCTTCGATGGTCAGTCCTCTAAATGGATCCTCAGCACCTTGGATCCTGCTTCGCTCCAAGGTCAGGTGTGTTCAGGGTCATATGTCAGGGCAGGTATCCTCTTTTGCACAGCTTACAGGTTTTGCAAAAGATCCCAATGTGCTCTGGGGAAGATAAGCCTGCAAGACGGGAGGGGCAGATTTTTAGCCTCTGGACCGTGGCTGAACATTCCCAATGGGATTGCAGTTGAAGTGAGAGAGAGGGGGGTGGAAGACAGAGAGGAAAGGCAAAGATACCCCCTTGGCCTTCTTTAGATGTAAAGGGAGGCTACTCCGTGACCCTTCACGGGCCTCTATCAGCTGCTAAGTGAGTGTACCAAACTAGGCAAATATGGATTCTTGTATTACTAGTGGCAACAGTGCTCAGCACCGCCTGCCATTTGTAGGTTAATTGCTAGACAGTCCATCTGCTGCCGGCTCATTTAAGGGCCGCCAGCATGGAAAAACAACAGCTTGTGGAGGCTGCCCCTCTGCAGCCCTAGAAGGGGAGAGGTGGGGAGGGGATTATGCAGGAGGGAGAAGGAGAAAAGAACACGGGGCCTCAGGCAGTTTGTGTGCCTCTGGTGGGGGAGACCCCCCCTTTCCTACTGCCTGAGGAGGATGGCAAGGGGTGGTGGTGGTGGAAGAGTCGTCACTGTTGTCCCACAAATCAAGCAAGCAGGGTCCACCCTGAGCTTTCTGAGATAAAAGGGGTCACTTTCCTGCTGGGCCCCATCAGACAGGAGGTTCCTCTCCATCCCTTTGACGGAGGAAATCCTCTCCCTCTCTCCTTCCTCTCATGAGTGGCAAGAATCAGTGGTCAAGCAGCTTGAGAAGGTTGAACTGCTGAAGCCTTCAAGAGGCCCACCAGCAATTGAACGCACAACAGTGGCTGACAGACACAGTTGATTGGCTAGGACAAGGGTGGTAAGCGGTAACAGGTGGCCCTTCAGATACTGTTGGACAACAACCCCCATCATCCCCCACCTTTGCAATTCTGGCTACAGCCAATGGGAGTTAGCCCAACAATATCTGGAAGGCCATAAGGTACCCACTGCTAGAACCGACTTTCCCTGAATCTCGATGAGTCCAAGGCCATGACTACATGCGTGAGGAGATATGGATGGAATTTGTGCCAACTTCAGTTGCTGCCATGACACAAGCTCCACTGCAAGTTTTTTTTAAATGTGCATTGACACCATTTTCAAACCCCCAGGCTGTGTCATGGACTTTAGCATCCATACCAGTGCTTGTTTCTTTCCATGGGAAAACACAGAATGGCATACTAATTTGAAACAAATGATGAGGGCAGACGTGGACCTTGGGGCAGATTCCTGTTGTGAAGTAACTCATGTGTCCGAGGGCAGCTTGTGCATTAACGGAAGTGCCTTCTCCACATAACATGATCTATTAGTCCCCCTCTATTCAGCACTGGTTAGGCCTCATCTTGAGTACCATATGCTGTTCTGGACACCACACATTAAGAAGGATGCCAACAAACTGGAGCAAGTTCAGAGCAGTTTTGCCTTACATAATTAGCAACTAACTGCGAAACCCTACGAGGAAAGACTGAAAGAACAGGGCATGTTTAAAACCCCCTATGGGGAAAGACCGAAAGAACAGGGCATGTTTAGCCTCGAGAAAAGAAGAAAAGGAGATAGGATAGCACTTTCCCCAAATGAACCTTTACTTTTCCCATCTAGATATATCTCAGCAGAGCAGTGGGAGGACTCACAGTTTTGCCTTACATAATTAGCAACTAAATACGTAATTAGCAACAACCCATAAAATAGAATTTTGTTTGTTTGTTTATTAGGAGATTGCATGAACGGTGAATTAGTGGTGAACAGTGAGGGATACAAGAAGCAGGGGGTTTCTGCATCACCCCTGCTTCCCTGGCAAAGCAGAAATGTGCCACTTTTGAAGAAGAGGCAAATGGAGAGGAAGTGTGTGTGTGACAGACAGACAGACAGACAGAGAGAGAGAGAGAGAGAGAGAGAGAGAGCATACACGACCTGTGCCCCTTTATTTGTAGAACTGGGGTGTTAAGACATGATGGTTGCGCAGCACCTTCCCAGAGAAGAACCAACCTGTGTAGGGCAAGCTGCATGGTCTCAAAACACCCCCAGAAGAAGGGAATGGTAAACCACTTCTGATAACTCTAGTCTTAACCTAGGAAATTCTGGAAAAATCATCGTTAAGACACAGAAAAGTACCTCTGTTTTCTGAGTGGGGCAAGCGGGCTGACGATTAGGTGTGCGACTGGCAGGTACCTCTGGCTGTGCTGAGCCAGTCCAGCTACTCTCTCCACACTGGCTCTCGGTCTCACTGCCTCAAAAGCCCACACCTACAGCTCCTCCCTTTTTCCAGGTGTCTAGCAGCTCACTCAGCCCATTTCACACATCATCCCCCCTGCCAATTCGTGTTCTCTGGCTGGCTCTCGAGAACAGGCTTTGGTGCACAGAGGGAGAGGCCATGTGGTAGTTCACACCACACAATTCATGTGGGAGCGCACCTGAGGACAGACACTTCTGCAGCAGGCACGTCAAGGTAAGAGGCCAGCAGGATTCACCTGTTGGGAAAGGAAGACCTCCGGGTGAGCAGGCAACACGAAGTGGACCGGGTGACACCGTCTATGAAGACAGCAGGGGGAGGGGAGGGAGAGGCAGTGGAACAAACTCAGGCAAGGTCTTTTTATGCTCATTTCCATGGCTTGAGTAGATAAGAGGTTCCTATTAAGTAGGAAAAGGTGGAACAAACACAGAGAAGGATTTATAAAGGGCAATTGAGCATAGATTGTTTCTCTCTAGCTCTATGTTTTTTGATATTTAGAATTATCTCATCAGTCTAAACAGAAGGAACCTCAAAAGTAATCTGATCCAGAGTTTGGACTAGGTGTTAGTCATGGACATGCTTAAAAAGTAAAATTCCCAAGCTCTAATTTAGTCCACTCTCTGTCAGTGCAGGAGGTTCACAACTAAATTGTCCCTAACAGTTGGCCTATCAGTTTCGGACATCCAGACGGAGAAGCAGACAGGATACAATTAGATTTCATTCAGTTTGATCACTTCAAACCTATTCTTCCAGGCACCCATAAGATCTGTTTGGTTTCCATTTCAAGGATTAAGCTAAGTGGATCTCTCACTTACATGTGCATCTGCTCCATGAGCCACAGCCCGTTCCCAGACCGGTAAGATTTGTAGGCAGTTTTGTGCCCTTGGACGCATTGCTGACTGTCTAGCAAACTATCCACAAAGTTTCAGGGGCTCACTGGTGGTGACGCCTTATTCTGCATTTTGTTTTTGTTTAAGACGGATGTCGTAATTGTCAGTTAGCTTTACATATTTAGATGCTGCTTGTTATCTCTGGAAAGGAAGAAGATTTGCTGAAACATCATTCTCTCCCAGCTTAACTGAGGGTTTCCTCCTTGAAGGGGGAAGAGAAATTTAACTTATATGGGGAAAAATTTAAAAAGTTTCCTTCCATCCACACTTCCACCAGCACTCTCATTTTGAACAGGGCAGTCTGCTGGCAAGGCAAGAGAAGCCCTATTTATACACACATCCAGCAGCGCATGTTTTATTGACCAGGGAGATCTGCTACTGTATAGTGTAAGAATATATAGAATAGACAGGGTGGTGGGTTGAGGGGGATGAACAGCAATCTCGAATGTCATCAATCATTGCCTGAAGCAGGTACAAAAATGTGATATTGATCCCTTCTCCCGAGCCACAATTTTTTGCCCCTATGTTTAGTGAAGGGAAAAATTAAGTGCAACTTGTCGAGGGTAGGTCGAAATTATAGACAATGATGCTCTTGGGCACTTGACCGCATGCTTCCTTGCCCCCTTGCTCCCTGTTGCAGCTGGAAGGTCCTGGGAGAAGATGAACGTGACCGACCCAACATGGGCCAGAAACACCAAAGACCCACATGGGGAAGAAAGGTCACCATGCGTTGCAGGTGTGGGAGCCATCATCTACTACTGCATCCTGTTGGGCGTGGGCCTGCCAGGTAAGAAGAGGCTCAGAAGGACACCCTCTCCACAGAGGGGCCAGCAAGGAAAAAGGAAGAGGGGCAATCGTAGGGGCGTATGACCTCAGTGATTTATTTTACTATACTCAATTTATTTTAAAACAAGAAAGGGACTAAAAACGAACATATTTTAATTGGGCTGAAATCAAGTTTCTGTGAACGGCAGTTCACTTCATCAGACGTTTTAAGCTGCATATAAACTTCCTTACAGGAGAAGCCCACCCGAGGTGGTGTATAGTGAAAAGTTTGTAAAACAATACAACAATAGGCATCCCAAGGATGAGGGGAACAAGCAGCAGATAAAACAAAAGCCAGTTATTCATACAAATGCCTGGCAGAATAGAGAAGTCTTGTGGTGGGCACAAACCACCGGTTTGGCACTTCCTGCCAGTTTGGAGCGTTAGCTGCACAGCTGTTCCTCAGGCGCCCTGGCCTCCCAGCCCTCCCTCTTCCAGAGGGCACCTGCTCGGTGGCAGCAGCTGACTTCCTGGCCCTGCCTCCTCCAGGCACTGCCTCTGAATGGGTGCCAACCAGGGGAGGCAGAGCTGGGAAGCCAGGGCACGCGCAGAGCAGTTGTGTGCCCAAAGTGCCAAACTGGCATGAACAGCTGAACTGGTGGTTCGTGCCCAAAGATTTTTTGGGGGGGTGGGGGGGTGGGGTCATCATGCGTTGCAGGCATGGGTTCCAAAAGCCCAGGACCACCACTCAGAAATTTCTGTCTTTGGGGAAATAGTGTCAAAAAAAGTGGAACCTAGAATGACACTCCAGTATGGAAACAGCAGAAGACATAAGGGTGTGCTTATAGGAATTATTCACAAACATAAAGTAGCAACCCCGTATCTTCCAGGGATCAGTTCCAAGCCCCACTTCCACAGATGCTGAAAATGGCAGATTATAGAAAACACTATACAGTGGTGCCCCACATGATGACGATAATTCGTTCCATGAAAATTGCTGTTTAGCGAAATCATCATCATGCGAAAACCGTTTCCCCATTGGAATGTGTTCCAATGGGGAAACATCTTCGTTGTTCTGTGAAGATCGCTCATAGGACAGCCATTTTGCGAAGCGCCGATCAGCTGTAAAAATGGCTGTCCTGCGAAGCATCAGTCCCAAAAACATAGGGAAGCCATTTTGCGAAGCCGCCGATCAGCTGTAAAAATCGTCGTCTTGTGAAAAAACAGTCCGCAAAGCATGGACCAAATCATCGTCAAGCAGAAATCGCCCATTTGAATCACTGTTTTGCGAATTGCTATACGATTGCAAAACCTCATTTTGCGAGGTCATCATCTAGCGAGGTACCACTGTACATAGTATGGTCTCTGGCTCCCTCTAGTAGGTAACTTAACCATTAGAATATATATTTCTAAGATTTTTCTTTTAATATTTTCAGACTGCGGATAAATGAATCAGTGGATACTAATCCTGTGGCTAAGGGGCCCTGTATCTGGAAATAATAATGAGAAATGTAGGAAGTTGAGTCTTCTGAAGAAGAATTAAAACTCATTAAATCAGCTGGGGAGCAAAAAGAAAGCATTACATCTTTAAAATATGTGAATTCTGAAGGTTTTGTTCATATACTGGAGCATAAAATGGGCTTAATTTATTTCTTAATCTCAAAATCAGAATTCTTTTATACCTTACCTCCAGATGTTAACTCTTGATAGAGAATTCCTTCAACTTGTTGCCCTCCAGATGTTTTAACTATATTCCTGACTGTTGGACATGATGGGCAGAGTTAATTAGGGTTGTAGGCGCAGGGCCAACATGCTCCTTTGCTCTGAAAATAGGAGACTGCTCAGCTGCCACATATGTCTAGAAATACCAAGAAGTACATGATGAGCCAAATCCTGTTGATACCAACATAACATAAAGTTACACTGGCATAAATGTGCCAGGCATTAGACTTGGCAATAAAGAATTGTGCAATTCAATCGTGCAATTGATTATGTGTCCCCAGTACAACCAATTGCTCAATGTGCTAGTGGAAGTCCTCCGTAGATAGCACTTCTGCCTTCATACTATCATAACTACTGCAGGTGCAACCTCAAGTGTGTGTCCACATAGGTATGCAACAGGATTTTGCCCAGTATTGTAATGGGAATCATATCTGTCAGAGCACAAATCAATATAAATCAACACAAATATAATCTTAGAGCTGCAGAGCTGGAAGGGTCACTATAGAACATCGAGTCCAGCCCCTCTCAAGGAGGCACAGTGGGGGAATCGAACTCCCAACCTCTGGCTCCACAGCCAGAGACCTGAACCACTGAGCTGTCCAACAGTTATCAATGTTACAGTTGAGTATGGATGTTGTTTTTTTCCTTTATGCTAAACAAAACAATGAAGGTTATTGAATATTGCATAGAAATAACACAAACATCTCTTCCTCAAACAATTATAATTTGCAAAAAAACCCTGTAATTTAAATACCAAAATATTTTCAGTATTTGTTCAAGCCACCTCCAACAAAATATTCTTCCTGAACTGCGTGTGATCAAGACATTCATTCATTCATTCTGCATTAATGTAAAATCAAAGAATCATTGAAATGGAACAGCCATTCTCAAACTTATTTTTAAAGGAAGGGCCATGGCCATAAACATAAAACGAGAGAGATATAGGCCAAGTAAGGATTGTATAAGTCAGATAACAAACCTCATAAGGTGATGTGTTTCCAGTCTGTGGCCCCCTTCAAATGTGCCAGGGGCCTCCCGGGGACAATATGCCCGTCCTTTAAAATGGCTAATCAAACCCCTAGTAAGGCAGCTTGAAACTACAGTTTTCTTGAGAAATGGTTTTCCAGCCTCTGCTTAAATCAGGGGTGGGAGCACCTTCGGGGAAGGGGAAGCAATTTCACCAACCTCAAACCTGTGAAAGTTGGGCTTCCATCAATGGTATAAGAGTAGCAGAATTTGGAAAAGCCAATTCTGCTTTACAAGAGATTTGGGAACACACCAAGGAGAAGCAGACTTCCATAAACAAAGTGTGTGCTCCCCAGATGCCTAATTTTAAAACTAAATTTTTAAACAACGGTTGGGGCAGCGGAAGGGCCCTCAAATCCAGGAGGCCTGCATGTGGTCCACACAAAATATAGTTGAGCACTCTTGGCTTTATTTATTATTAATTTTTTTGCATTGTATTGTATTATTATTTACCCCTACAATTTTTCTCCCAATGTAAGGAACATCCGTGAATTTAGAGAATTTGTGGGTTTTTTTGGTACTACAGGAAAATATTATCTGAAAATACAGGAACATAATATAAAGAAACTGGGGGGTGGGTTGGGGGATAAATAGAAGCATATTAGGAAAGACAGGACAGGTAGCTAGCTGCCTTATGTAACTCAGCGTATTAGTTCCAGAGCCAAGCACTAGAGGGCGCCATGACCTCATGCAGATGTGGGGAAGAACTCCCGTTGCCCCTCCAGCCGGTCTTTTTGGCCTTTGACAAGTGGAACTCTAGGGAATTGTGCTGGGAGACATGAGGAATGTTGCTTTATTTAAAAGAGAAGAGAAGTGAAAGGAATCAGATCTGCACAAGGAAAGGGGGGGGGGCATTCAGAGCCAGGCTCAAATCAGGATTACCAAACCAGGTAACAGCTACAAGAGAATGCTTCCTGTTAAGTTTAGAAGATCTGGTCCCTGAAATGGATTAGGAGCATCTTCACTACCTCTTGAGAGCTTTTGCTTTTGATAACCGTAACCGTAAAAGATCTGTTACTCTAAAGCCCTGTTTCATCAACTTAATCTGTTTCCATTTCCTTTTTTAAAAAAAACAAGAGAAAAGGGAGTTTCTAAGTGGACCCCACCATACATACAACATGGAATGGTCTATTAGGCGACCCATCTGCTTTCACCTTTGATTCGTGCAGCTGCAAACTATATCCCCCACAGTGCTAAAGAAAACATTTTCCTGCATTTTCGGGTCATTTGTTTAGATATAGCATTTGTATCCTAAATGTCTTTGTTCCATCACAGCCATTTCCAAAGAGATTGCCTTTTTTTGGGTCTGTTTCAACACGTGGTCAAAACAAGAGTGGGGGGATGGGAGTAAAGGACAACATTCAGTAGAACTCTTGTATCCACAGGGGATGCTGAGAAACACGGATTACTGTGAACGCTATTTTAACAACAAACACTATACAGTACATAGTTTGGTCTCTAGCTCCCTCTAGTGTACAGTTCTGGTAAAGACATTGTGGAAATATATTTCTTTAAAGAATGCTATAAGAATGGTTTCCAGCTCCCTTTAGTGACCAATTTGGGTAACTTCACCTTTATATATAAATAAATATAAATATAAATATAAATACCTGTTTCCCCAAAAATAAGACAGGGTCTTATATTAATGTTTGCTCCAAAAATGCATTAGGATTTATTTTCAGGTGATGTTTTATTTTACAGTCATGTTATCTTCT